GAATGGTATATTTATTGTAGTGACCGGATCAGAAAGCTTTTCAAAGAATATCTAAAACTTTTTGCACGTAGGAGATTATTTTGTACAGTCAGATGTATTTCTAAAATCAGGCATGAGCCGATTTCATCAGATAATCGCTCCCTACCCAAAACAGTAAGTTTGAGAACGTTTTTCTTGAGAAAAACTGACCTCAAAAAGGTTTTTGTCGAAATCTGCGACAAATCAGGTGTTTCACAACAACACTAATAAAAACATTCTAAGGACATCTGATAAAATAGAATTTAAAAATATTTGAGAACGAAGAAATTAGTTTACTATTGTTCTCCTTTATGGAGATACCATATACCTGAAATAAATTATATTGAATTAATAAAAGAATTCTCTTTTATTTAACAAAATTTAAGTCACAATTGTTTACTCTTCCTTCGTCTTTTGATATCGCATCGTATTCTATTATTCTGAGGGCATTCATTAATTTTGGTGGAAATGGGTACTAGTGACAGTCGACCATATCGACAGCAACGGGGAGCTGAACCGATCATGAGTAAAAAAATGCCTCAACAAGTGAGACGAGAAATGCAAATTGAGGGTGAGCGAAGATTTACAGAGATTTTTACAAAGTTGAAGTAAAAACAAATAATCGAAAATTAATATATTTTTTTTATTTTTCTTCAATAGATATGGCTCTCAGATGTGACCAATGTGGAATGATTTTTGATACAGACGAAGGATTATACAAACATAAAGCCCGTTTTTGCATTGGTGTCAATAATGGGGGAATGGGCAGAGTACCATTAAACTTACAGGACGAAACAGATAGATACAGGAGAAAAAATGCTTTCGACGACGAAAGAAACACGCGAATGTTGGATACAACACGAATGCAAATACTACAGCGATCTCCCCTTAATCGAGTAAGTATAATAAAAAAAAAAATTCTATGTTTAATTTTTAATCAAAAAACAAAGAAACCTGTATAAATTATTAAGTGTCGTTTTTTGTCTTCTTTTTTTTTCTTCTAAGCAATTTGTGTTTAGAAATTAGATGAAATTCAGGAATACAAGACTCAACGATCAATGTTACAAAACGTCCAAGATATAGAAGATCGTATACTTCGTGACTCGCGTAGAACACAAAATCTCGCCGATAGTGTAAAGCAACGGTCATACGCTTATACCGATATTATGATGGAAGTATGTAGAAAGACAATGTTTTATTCGAAAAAATGAATGCGAAGTATTTTATAGTATGAAAAATTACAAATACGAGAACGAGATCTTCTGAGAGATATCTTTACACTACAATCGCAACCATTATCTGGTGATAAAGAAGTGGGTAGTTGGTATGAATATATTAAACATTAATTAAAAAATGATTTTTATTTAGGGCGAATTTGATTCGTTATCAGACTATCAAAAAGAGCGGTTGAGAAGTTTGCAGCGAAAGAATGCTGAAGTAGAAAAAGAAAGACGAAGTATTTTGCATTTTGTGTCCTCTGTTTTTTTTAATTTCTTTTGTCTGCGTTTTCTTATTACAGTTATTCAAGAGCAACTAGAAGAATTAATTTCAACAAATCGATCAGATATGTCATTGTCAATATATAATACTCCTCACAGACTATTACGTGAATTAAAAGATCAAGAAGATTTAAATGAAAATGCATTAAATTCTCTTAGAATGAGGCTTTTTGCAGATAGGTTCGACTAAGTTACTCGGTTAAAGCTTGAATAGCTTATGTTAATGTCACTTCGTAGATCTTTATCACTTTCGAGAGTGTCTTCTTTACCGACGTCATACAATTTTAACAACAAATATACTCGTTCGAGAGAAAATTTTGGTGACGATGTAAGGTTAGTCTAAAGTAAAAGCAACATCCTCAAATGTTATCAAACACACGGTTTCTATCTAGAACATTCAGAAATGATTATCTGAAATTTGGTGGACACAACCCAGCACTTCTGGCACGTTATACTGATCTTGAATATAAACTTAGATCATACGAAAATAATAATGATTGGATGGGAAATAATCCAGAACCACTCACACCGTACAGGCGTAAATTTCTTTTCTTTATCAATTACCATTATCACATAACTAGGGGTGGCACATTACTGTTACTTTTACGAATAATCCAAATATTGTATATATTCCTATTGCCAGTAACAATAAAACTGAAAAATATTACTGTTACTGGTAATAGGAATATTTACAACATTTGGATTACTCGGAAAAGTAACAGTAATGTGCCACCCATACACATAACATCTATTCAAAAATTAGCTTGTCTTTTAATCTCTGTTATAAAACCTCAGAAAAAATCGTGCTGTACACGTTAGTAGGAATTCAGTGGTAAGAGATCTATGAATCTAGTGATATGATCCTAAACATACTATACCAGAATCCTGCTAGGATTTTGCCCCTCGCCCCTTCCGACCATGTCTTGTAAGAATGTATGGAGTGTGGTTCAGGTTTTTGTTGTTAGATCGCTCCAGAGATGAAGTGGATGATCGTTTCAGACAGTTCAATACTGAAAACAAAAAATTACTAAATGATGTTGATTCTCTACAGAAAAAATATCGAAACTTGAATACAGGTAAGTGTGATGTGAGTAACTTTTAGTTGTTATATCGAAATTAATGTTATTTTGAAGCTATGTACAATCATCCACATGATCGTTCACTGCTCGAACCAGTAACGCCGTATGGTGCTGATGGATATCGTCCGCATCACCATCATCCTCCCCAGTACTATCCTACCAGGTAAGGTGTTTCAAATTCAAAAGGTAAACAGAAAAATAGATTTCCTTGAAACATACATGGTTGGATAGAGCTCATCGAGCTGATCCCGAATATTGCCTTTTTATCGACTTTTGAGGGAGAAATCTTCAAAATATCGCAATAGTCATAAAAAGTGAAAAAGTGAGCGTTATAGAAAAAAATCAAGATATGACCGTTTTCCGTTCACTCTAGTTTTTCCAAGCTATTTTATTCGGATTCAGCATCAAAAAGTGAGTATATCCATATAGATTTGAGAGTCGTTCATCGTTCTGAGATCTGCGAGCAGGATGGACTATGTTCGTCCAGAGACGTTTTGACACCCTGTTCTCACAAACCTATGTAGTCTTTTGTTTCAAGAGCTTTCCCAAGAACTATCATACATCATTCGAATCACCCCATTCGATAGTGAACAAAAGTATGTATCACTTTTTCTTTCTTTCTTTTCTTTGCTGAGAAAATTCATTTTTTCTGAATCTAAGGCGAAAAAGTCAGAATTCTGCTCGTAATTCTCAATTTTCTTCATCAGAGCTAAACTTTTATGTAATAAAAATATCATATTCGGAATCAAAATAAAAAACTAAGTCGATTGATATGCATTTCGAAAAGTGTACTTGATTTTTATTTTTTTGGTAAAAACCTCGAATTTTTGAACATGAAAATTGGACAAAAACTAAAAGTAGTCGAATAGGATAGAAATTTACATCAATCGGCTTAGTTTTTTATTTTGATTCCAAATATGATATTTTTATTACATAAAAGTTTAGCTCTGATGAAGAAAATTGAGAATTACGAGCAGAATTCTGACTTTTTCGCCTTAGATTCAGAAAAAATGAATTTTCTCAACAAAGAAAAGAAAGAAAGAAAAAGTGATACATACTTTTGTTCACTATCGAATGGTGATTCGAATGATGTATGATAGAACCATGTATGTTTTAAGAAAATCTATTTTTCTGCTTACCTTTCGAATTTGGAACACCTCACACGACCGAGATGTTATCAATCTTAATTTTATTTTATCGATTATTATTGTTAATTAGAAGATCACCTGTTTCATTTCCAGCAATATCTACCCGTTCACCAACATACGATCCCCACTACCGTGATTACCGACCACCTACGACAACGAATGTACGATCAGAACAACCATTACGTTTAGACCAAGATTTACGTTATAAAACTCCTCGAACAATGGCTCGTAGCACTCCGACAAGAAGTTTACTTTTATCGAATATGAATAAATTACGCGATCCACTGGATCCGTCGCCGTATGATCCCGTTGGCGGTTTTGTAATATTTTTTGATTTTATTTTGAATTTGGAACAACCAACTGAATTATGTCGTCTGGTTACATGCCTACATCATCCAAAATTAGGACTCGGTGAACCGTCACAGTTACAATCGTTCACATGCGAAACATTCACCGATCAAAATGGATACAAAATGAGTGTTGCTCTAATTGCCACAAAACAGCCCGTTCCACGGTATGTAGATGCTTCTCTATTTAAAGAAATTGATTCAACTGAATACTTTTTTTATCTAGTTGTCCACCACAACAAGCGTTAACTATCATTATCGAAATTCAAACAGCCGCTCATCAACCGCATTATACTCAATTACAAACAAGATCATGGACAAAAATTCCTTTATTTGATCATAAAAATCGATTACTCAGTGGACGCTGGAAAGTACCGGCGAGAAATTTACCAATACAATATGATGCAAGTTTAGCAATTGTTAGCATGCTTCCTGCTGTAAGAGAACTTTTTCACATAGTCAGTAGTTTTGAAATAGTGTATCTTTCACATTTAAGGCTGGAATGATGGAACTACATTATCGATTGGTAAACTATAAAGATGCGGAGGAACAAACGAATGCTCCGTTATCCCCAACATTCAGAGATTTATATGCGTATGTTCCTCAGGTAACTGTAAATATATAACTGAATGTAAAGAAATTGCTTGATTTTAACCGTAAGTGTCACAGAGGATACTACATTACTTCCATTATGTCATTTAGTATCTGCAACGCCGACATTATCAAATGTACTAGGCAGACGAATAAAGACCAGTACATCTTATAATCTCTTTTTCTCCCATTCCTCTATCGCTCTTTGTACCCTAAACATATTAAATCTCTCATTTTACTAAATGTGTACGCACTTCAAACTGACGCTTTAAAAACGTTGACCCTCTTTTTTCCCTTCTTTAGATGAGAGATGATACATAATATTTTCAATAATTTGTAAAATTGTGATCTAAATGGAAATGCTTCATTTATTAAATGGAGATAACAAATACATATCGCTCGATTTATGTTTATATCAAATTTCAGATGGTAAATTTATACATATTATTGTCAAAGAAAATGATGGTGCTTCGGAGTCAGAAGAACTATATAAAACTTCGTAGATTTGACATAGTTCATAGGAAAATAACTATTTTGTATTAGATAATATATATTTTTTTATGTTCGCCTTTTATTGTTATTATTTTTTCCTTCTTTTTCAGCTCAATAAGGAAATTAAACCAAAAGAGCCTTATACACTTGGCTAAAATGAACGTTCTAAATTCATCATGTCAAATCAAAAGAAACTGAGGTCAGCATTTTCGATAGAAGTTTGGTGGGGGAGGGATGGAGAGTCTGCCGAGTAACTAAAGTTTTTTCTTTGAGTATAATTTTTTTCTGAGTATCTGCATGTTTTAAGCTAAATTTATGTTGAAAAAACTTACTTAGGCGCATAAAAGGCAGTTTCTCAGCTTAAATTTCTTAAAAAATTTCTGACTAAGTCAAAATTTGTTGAGTAACTTTATCCAAACGAGGGGGTGGATTTCTGCCCCCTAATCGATAACGCTGACTGAGATCATGCATATCTGTTTACATATTCAATAATATTTCATCATAGCTCAATGTTTTACTTCCATCTTTTAAACTGACTCGTTCATATAAAGATTATCACCTTTACACGCTGCGGTCGTCTAATTTTATGATAAAAAATTTTAAGTGATATTGCTATCTATCTAACAATAGTATGTTTATATAAAATTTTCTTGTGTTCGATTGACATAGACTAAATTATTTGAGTGAAAACTCAATAAAAAAGAACCAAACAAAATGAGTGAATAAACGCAAAACACGTATACATCTTGTATAAATCAGACACAAAAATGAACCAAAAAAAAGAGATGAGACAATTCCAAAAAAGAAGAGTTCAAATCAAATAGTAGTAGGTGAGAGAACATTGCAATCGGCAATCTCTTGACTTATCGTTATAGCCGTGTTAAACACGATAATCATCATACATTTTAAAGAAAAGAAAAGAAGTTTCCTAACAAGAGAAAATTATGTATGTGCGCGCAAAAAAAAACAAAATGATCAACCAAAGAGCCCCTCTGCTCGTTATACAATAAGCTTGAGAAAAATATATATAGAAACATCAACCACAAAAGAAATGTAAAATGCGTTTCACAAACACATGCAGGTACAATAACAACAACAAAATACAAAAGCAACAAAAAAAAAGATCCGATTTTTAAGTTGTGCGCACAAAAACGACGATAACAAATGAAAGAAAAACACGCCAGCTTGGTTTTCAAGTTACAACTGAAGCCAAAAAATGAAATTCGTATAAAGGCAAAAAACGAAAGAAAAAAACGGGGATTTTCTTCTTTTAATAATGAGATCGTATTTTTTATTTATGAAAGAATTTTTAACAATAAGTAGAGTAAAGTAATTAAATTTCATAAAAGAAACAGAAAGAAAAAAAAAAGATGTTCAGAAATGTATTTTCAAGCCTACAACAATGATCATTTCAGTTTGATAGTTTATCTATGTACAATTTATTTATTCATTCTTAATTTAGTCGTATAATAATAATACCCGTAGTTGAATGAGAACATTGAAGTAGATCTTGGTATAAAGAAATTAGTTAAATAATGATAACTGCTATTGTCATTTACGGTTCGTCTTGAGTGCTAAAAAAAGAAATAGAAAGGCTGTTTTAGATCTCTTTGAACAGCAATCAGACGAAGAATTTTTCCTTCTGCCACTCGTTTAAACAGGATCTGTACTTCGATTCAATGAGTTGATACAAAGATCACTCTTACTTACAATTTAGGCTCATCATAATGTTGTTCTCCTAGAAATAGAAAAATAAAATCATAATGAGATGATAATTTTTCTTTAAAGATCTCATTGATAAAACATATTATCAAAGAAGATCAAAAATACTTAGGGACAAAATTCACATCACACACAACAATATAAGCGTATGATTAACAATGCAGACACACAGTTCAACTTCAAAATAATGACAACATATATGATAGATAAAGCAGAAATGAGTGTCGCGATATATTGAACGAATAAAAAGATAATAATTATTATTATAATAATGTGATGTTGTTTAGTGCAGTTTAAAGAAATAATATAAAGCATATGTGATAGTTTAGCGTCCCTAATTCATATTTAGTGAGATATGTTAAAAAATAAAAAAATTTAGATAATAAGCCAAAGACAGCCTCAAATTTCTACTTGAAAACATCATCCCAGTGAAACTTTGTGTAATTAAAATTTTAGATTAAGAGATGTTGCATAATCTTGTAAAAATTATCATTATATCTTCCTCTTGTATACGATACCCAGATACGTAACATCATATATGATAGTCTTGGAAAGAAAATATTACAATGTTATTCTAAGTAGAAAAGTTTTCGCACTTATATACAAACAAGAGTGTAAAATGAAAACAGTGATTCAAAAATTATCAAGATTTTAATACACAAGAAGTTTCACTAGGATGATTGTACGCGTAATAGGACAAAAGAATGTCTGCCTATCCGTACTACGTAAGCGTTATTCTTTTGTTTTTTTTTAACTGAGCGTTAGAAAAAGAAAGCATTGCGTGTGAACAGTATTATTAACAAAGAAGTACAACATGTATATATTTATCTGCACTAATACAATATTAATATAAATAAAATTGTCTGTTCATTGGAAAATTTTTTGTTTTAATTGAAATATTTTCTAACTTTTTTTTTAAGCGTTGCCTTAGCTTTGGTTTTTGTTTTAAAATGCAATATTTTTTACACAAATAAGAAAATGATAAATAATGCGTAATGTGACAAGAATACGTCTACTGCATTTATTCTATTTACCACTTTGTAAATTCGATGATGTTTGTCTGTGGCTACTAGTATTAATAGTACCGCTACCACAATAACAATCGTCGGAATGATGTAAATGGCCCGACATTGAGCCAGTCGGAGAAGTAGAAGAAGAATGACGAGAAGACAATAGATTAGAGTTAGAATGTTCTTGATTTCTGTTTGTGATATCTATTCCTTCTTTTGTGTTATTAGGAGGTAAAGAAAATCCTCCTGTAACCGTACCGGGATGAGAATGATATTTTTGATGATGAGTAGCTAGTTCACTTTCGAGAGAAATAGTTTTATTAGATCTGTCATTAAAATTATTATTATCTATACCAGCTGATGATAAAAATAACGAGGGAGATGAAACAGTAACAAAAGACGAGGTTGTAAATGGTTTTGTCGTACTAGTAGTATTAATTGTTGATGTAGTAGCGATGGAAGGTGAAATGTCAGTCAGTATTAACCGGTCATTTTTATGTACAACAGTATGACTTGACGTTGATGTTGGTGAATGAGAATGAACAAATGGTGGAATGAATGGTAAATGATCAGGAGGACTAGTAGAAGATGAATGTGATGGTTCATGATTACGCTTGAAGCTAGATAAATGAATTTCAGCAGGTAACACACGTTGTATCACAGTTTGATTTGATGAAGAATATGACGAGGCTGAGGAAGACGAAGATGTTGTGCGAGACGTGGAAATTTGACCTGATGGCGGAGGTGAACGACGGGTCGATGACGGTGGCGACGTCTTTGACAATGAAGTTGATGAGTCATTAATTTTAGGTTGCTTTTGTTTTATTGATTCATCTGTATCAAAAAACACTCGATCTTCACCATGAGTGAATTGACTAGAAATACAGGGAGTTAAATCGATTTCTGATTTAAGTTGTGAAGGTTGTTCGATTGTTGGAGAAATCAACACGGGTGTCGTTCCTGACTCATAATCACTTTCGGACGATGATAAATTACGATTTTTAATATCTGACTGTTTATCATTACCTCGTCGACGTTTCTTTTTTTCGCGTGCTTGCAATGGTAAAGATTTGGTATTCATGTCTTCTCCACCATGCTCTGACAATGATGAGGACGTGGTCATTGAACTTGTTTGACTATCATCAGCAAATGCTCTACCAGACACTTGTAAATGTTCTTGGATATCTCTTAGTGGTGTGCTAGCGATATCTGGTGATTTCTGTTCGATAATCATTCGTGGGAACGATGTTGTACTTGTAGATGCTGTCATTATAGGATTATGAATGCTATTATCTTGTTGAGATGAAGTTTGACTAGTACTCATTAAAAATGCATCACTATCTTCATCAATACCAGCAAAACTCGTTTTCATTTCACGATCAACAGATTGTTCGCTACCAGACATGGATAATGATATGTCACCAGACAATATTTCATCATTATCTAAATTTTTTTGTTTTTTATTATCAATTTCGTTATCCAAATCATCATCAATAATCGAACTAACGAGGCTAGAAATTAATTGTGTTGAATCGTCTGTTTCAGATCGTTTATTGTTCGATTTTAGTTCTTGTTTTAAATCATCATAATCAATTTTAACGTACTCATTTTCCTCTTCAAACTCAGTTTGTTTTTCCTCGTCGCTCAATATCGACTCACCGCCTGAGTTACGTTTGGACGATGTTGTATTAAAAATGACTGTTTGATCTGTACATGATGATGGACCTGATTCACTATAGGATGCTGTCAAATCACTATTTTCAATTTCAATTGGTTTTGTTCGCTCTAAATGAACTTGTTCGGTTTTAAACAAAATTTCATCAATCAAATATTTTACATCATCATCGACATTATTCAATCCTTCTACTGTGGGAAAATATTTTACTTGTTTTGTATTAGAAAAAGATGGGGAATCATTAGATAACGACCGTTGTAATAAGATATTGTTTGAATTGTCATCGTCTGATCCGGAATAATTTGACGTTGAAAAGAGAGCTTGATGTCGCTGAATGTAGGATGCAACCTTTTCTGCCTCTAATTGAATATTATCGATTGGCGTTATTAGTGATTCAACAGAATTTCTTATTTCACGTGCCGTATTGATCATTTGTTGAGATGGAACAGCTGACACAATTCGATCTGTGTGTGAACGATTATTATTGCCTGGTGATGCTGTACCCGATTTTGACATTTCCATTTCTAAGCGTTCAAATTCAAGTAGAGAATCGTCTGTATTCGCAGTACTTGGTGTTGAGTGACGGTCAACAGCTGTAACCGTAGGCGGTGTAGTTAATCGTTTTAATTCTTCGAATGAAGAGCTTGTCGTTGGATTATTCAACATTGTTTTATTACGATATTGCACTTGTTGTTGATCATTATCCATCACATCTTCAACTGTAACAATAATGGCACTATTTTCACTAGTTGAACTTGTTTTTCGATGAGAATCGCTTGTCGAAGGACTATCGATTGTGGCATCTTCACTTTTTAATTCCGGACTTTCATAAACCGTTTCTAAAGCAGTTGCTTGTCGAATATCAAAACCGGTATCAAGTGGAGGATAGTCATATTCATGTTTTAAAATTTCTAATAAGTCTGGTGAACTTTCCTGTTTGTCTGACGACGACGAGGATGACGAAGATGAGTGAGTTGGTGTATGTTTTGAAATGACAGTGAATTTTTGTTGTGGACTAGCAGCTGGAGATAATTCATCAGTGCCTACCGGATCGATCGATAAATGTTTAACTAGAACGAATTCATCATTCACTTCGGTTATATCTCGTTCAGCTAATTCAATACTGCTATCAGTACTAAATGGTGTATCAGGTGAACTGTGCAATGGTCTTTTATCAATCACCTGTAATTTATCTTTTTCAACTAATACTGGACTACTACTCATTATTAAAAATGGTTCTCCTTCTTCGGGTTTTTCATAAATATGAAATGCTGATTCTTGGTTACTGTCACTTTGTTCTTCATTATCGTCATTTTTTGTATTCGATCGATAAATGACACTCGATTGCATGAAATCTTTGGCCATATTAATTTCATCATCATCTGAAATCGATTGTAATACATTTAACTGGTTATTTTTTAAATCAGCTTTCGTTTGTTCCATATCATCAAGTAATAGCGTAGAGCTAGGTGCATATTCCTCTGGAACACGTATTATAATACAAGAATCGGAACTAAAACGTTGTAACGTTCCATAGTCAAATTCATCAGATGAAACTTGAATATACTGTTCGCTGAGAGCATGTTTTAAATGTTGTTCTTCGTATTTTTTCTCCTCAAAAGCGTCGAGACTACGATCGGTGAATGGAGATATGAGATCTGATTTTCTTGTATCCTCTTCACCATCTAGTGTTTTCTTAACAAGACGATCAATAGATCTTTCTAGTTTAAGTTTTATTTTATCGACAATTGACGATGATTCTGTACAAGCGTCCGTTTTCAATTGGGATAATTCTTCACGAATAATAGAACTCATTTGATTCTCATTATTATTTTGTTCGGATTCTTGTTGTATTATATTTTCATCTTCAGTTAATCCTAATAAACTTTTTTCTATTATTTTAACTTGACCTTCATCATCGACCGAAAATGATGTAATATGACCAGTATCGGTGTCATACGTGGCTTCAACTTGTTGACAGCTTTCAGATGATTCACTTGTACAGGAGGAAGTGACCATTGCTGTCAATGGTGAATTTAACAGTTTATCAGATTGTTCGAGAATAGGTTCATTTTTTTCAATATTTAACCAAAAATCTGTTGTAGATTTTAGAGACGGTCTTTTTCGTTTATCATCTCGATCACTTTCACTTCCGGCTTCATAGGCTTCGTAATCCGAGTACACTGATTTTGTAATGAATAGTTTTCCATCATCTGAAACAACATTTGTAATTTGTTCATTATCTGAACTACTTATGTTGTTCGATTTTTCGCGCGATAGTTGAGGAGATAAATGAATTTTAGGCGAACAATAGTCATTAAAATTTTGTGACGATTTATCAACTATTTCAAGACACTGACCAAGTTCTTCTAAATTTTTACCAACAATAAAGTCTTGTAATGATTTTATTGTATTTTTTTCCTTAGTTGGTGATTCAAGACTTTCTTGATGTTTAATGGTGACTGATGCACGTGGTGATCGATGTTGAATAGGTACGTGTTGTTCACTCGAATCTAATTTGAATGAAACACTTTTTGAAGGTTCATACGGATGTCTTTCGGCCGTTGAAGATGAACGAATTTCGTTTCCATTTATATTTCCCAATGGCTTTCGACCGCTGCCAGTGAAACTAGTACTACTCTCTTCTCCTTCACCCTCATATTTCAAATGGCCTGCTTCTTCTTCATCGGATATTCTGCTTTTAAAATCATTATCCAAATCTAAACCAGGCTGAAACAATGAATCGACGGTTACAGCTGTTGACTGTAAAAATGTATTATCCTTCTCAACGTCATCGGATTCATAACCGAAATTGATAAGTCCATTATTAGTCTCTTCGTCTTGATTTTCATCGGATATCCGTTTTGACGATTGATCTGAACGTGTTTCATCAGCTGTAACATAACCACTTCGGCTAGAGTCAGAACGTATGGTATCGTCATTTTGTGGAATTTTTAAAAATATTTGTTCTATACGCCCTTTGGGTTCACTATAACTGGATCCATCTGACAACGAATTTCGTTGATTTACTCGTGTACTAGATTGCATAGACTCAGCTGCCGTAGGATAATCACTAATATGTGTTCCATCCTCTGGCTGATTTGATGTTGAACAACTCGTATTATCAACCAATTTTTGGTCTATTAACATTTGATTCAAATAGTTTGTGTTTTCTGATGAATATGTTTGTTGTAAACTCGAACTTCTAACAAAAACGCCGGTTCGATCATCGATTGAATGTCGACTTAATACTTGTTCAATATCATTCTTTTCCTTTTGTGATTCTAATGTTTGAAAACCATCCGAATCTGTGTGTGCCCGACGCAATGTTTTAACTGGTTGTTTAAATTTTTCAGGAAAAGAAGGCTCATCTGAGCCACTTTCGTGTGATTGATCCGCGCTGTATTGAACCGAAAAGCTGCTACTATCTGTTGTCATTGAATATTGTCCTTGTGCACCACTAGGATCTCCACTCTCAATGCTTTCTTCGCCGCCTTTTTCCATAGCATTTAACGGCATTTGTTCGTCGGATATGTCGGAAGAGGAAGATGTTGAGGAAAGGATACGTTCATGAATTATTCCTGTTTGTTCAGACATTAATTGAACTACAACGGCATTTAACACATTGTTCACGTATTGCTCTGTCAATTGTTCAAATTCATCTTCGTTCATTATTGTTTCTTCACTGACCGTAGCAGCAATAATCGCCTGTCCAGGCACAGATAAAGCTAAAGGTCGCATGCTACTACTTGTAGGCTCATACACATCACGGAAACTCATATCTGCGGCCTCTGGCGATGATTCTTTTTCGACAGCATCGTGTAAGATGGATTCTGAGGAGTTTTCTTTAGACAATGTAGACAACTCATGAATATCTAAGAAAGTTGCTGCATCATCAATGTTCGACTCGGATTGTGTGTTCGATAAATGACGAGGATCGGCCGATGATAAATTTGTTCCAATATTGTCCATATGATAAATTTCTGGTGATCGAACAAGTTTTGTTTTTTCGTCATGCCGTAAATCATCCGCTGACGGAAAATGTTGAACGTTACTTTGCATTTTAAATATTGACAAATTTATTAAAGGATCACCATGCTCTAGCTCCTCATGTGCTGTATTTTTTTTGGATGATGTAAGAGAAACAACAGGTGACAGAGGTTGACTTGCCAGTGAACCGGATGGTGGCGGCGTATTTTTGTCAGAGCGATCGCGTTCATTATCAGATGATGTACGACGTCCTTTTCCCGTTGTATTTTCTAATAATTCAACGGGTTTTTTGGTATCAAACTCTTCCGTTGTATAAATATCGTCACGTTGAATATTGTCGTTAACTGGTGATGTCCAAGATGTGATTTCAGTTCCTTGTTCTTCAGCAGGTGAAGATATTTCTTGATTTTCAATTTGAATAGTGACATACGGTGTGTAATAATTATCAGACGAGATAAATAGTCGTCTGGATAATGAAGACTGATGGGATATATCACTTGGCAACGAAATTTGTTTTATTTCTGAATTTTCAACTATTGTACAAACTGATGGAGTACTAGTATTCGTACTTGATGTTTCTCGTTCACCAATACTATCGAATGGAATATCAATTGTCGACGGTCGTTGTTGTTCGTTATCATCTTCAGTTTTTGATTTTGGCTGTTCGTCTATCGATATTCTACATGATTCTGGCGCAACATTTAGTGATTCTTCGCCTTCTAGCAATGTATGTATAATATTTAAGTTATTGACAGGTGTTAAAGCATCATTTGTAATCAATGATGATTTAGTAGACAACTTTGAATTATTAATGGATCTTAAACTGTGTGAATCGGTTGAGATTGTATCAATTTTTTTCTCGTCGTTTAATGACTGATTCATTTCATTATCGCTGATATAACTGGTCAACTGTAAACACGAGTTTGATAAAGAATTGCTATTATTCATTGGTACTGATGAACTTGATGTACTATACAAACTATTTTCACTTATCGTTCGTCTAGCGTGCATGACCGGTAATTGTTCGGTTTCAATCTCTCGTTGAATCATATGATAAACTGTTGGCTTTTCCTCTATTTTAATTTCGTTATCCGAATGGGCTAGATTGTGACCAATTTCATTTGTTAGATTAGTAGTAGTAGTTAATTGATCATGGGCTGTGATAAAATTATCAGTTGCTTCATCAAAACTTTGTTCGCTTCCAATTGAATAGCGACGAATTTCAGGTGTTATTCGTTGATCATTTTTTAACATTTCCCGTGGTGTTGAATGTCTCTCACTGTGTGATGTAACAGAATCTGGTCGAAAATAATCACTATGATAACCGGACATTTTACTTGGTGTAGGTTCATCTGTTTCACGTCTTAATAGATCAAATTCATTATTACTTGATGGACTTATTGGATTAAATAAGTTATCCATTTCTATTTGAACATCGTCCTGAGTTACGTCAAATTCATCGTCTCTATTAATATCTAATGGTAAACTAAATGCAAGTTTTAATTCGCTATCTGATTTTCCATCTGATTCATTCTCGAGTGAATCTGTGGACGTTTTCATATCTGGAGGATTTTGTTCGATACGTTGAAAATCAATGATATTATTTTGATCATTACTTGGTGTTTGCTGTGTTGGTGTCTTGTCAACTTCTCCATTGTCATTTAATAATAAATTCACGAAATCGTGCCTAGTTTCCTCTTGGTTTGCATCACTCTTATTCCATGTCGTATCGTATCTATAGTCGGCTATTTCTTTCGTATTAGATGATGTATAATTGAAGTTCTCGATAGAATCCTGAGAAATTTGCATTTGACTTTCATTATCAACTTGCGTTGTATTTGAAGAGCCGCTTTGTTGTTCTGAAGATTGTTGTTGTTGTGGTTGTTCACTTATTTGATTTGTATCCGTGATTTGATTACTTTGAAAAAATTGATCACCGGTTCTGTTACCACCGTCATCGTCGCTATCATCATGTTCATCTTTGTCTTTGCGTTCGAAAAATGGTTTATCGTTATTTATGCGATATTTATTTTGTTTATTATCATCATCTTCATTGCTGCTGTTTTTATCGCTGTCTGTTTTGTTTCCATCTTCATCTTCCATACATTTTGTTTCCAATTCTTCTTCACGTACAGCCGTCAAATAATCACCAAATTTTGTTTGTTGCTCAAACATATCGCTAGTTTCTGATAGCGACGCATTGTGTTGTTGTCGTTGATCTTCATCATATAGACTTTCATATCGAGACATGCGTCTTAAATAATCAAGTTGAGCAGCCAGTTCACCCTGTTTATCAATCGTATTATCCTCCGTTGATAATTCATCGCTTATCGACGTCGCTGAGGACTGCGTATAGGGTCGTCGACGATCAATGGGTTCCAAAATCGTGTTTGGTGATTTAATAAGATTTTTATCAATAATTTTATTGGACTGAATTAAATTTAATTCTTTTTCTTCATTTTCAACTGTTTCTTGTGCTTGTTTAATAATGTTTTCAATCATTTCTTGTAAAATGTCACTTTCTGCACTGATAGTTTCATCTTGATTAGCTATAAGCGACGATAATTCTTCTTTTGCTTCATCAACATCGTTCATTGATCGAATTAACTCTTCGACAAATTGTGTTTTTAGTGTGGGTGTTGTTGGTGGACTAGATGGACGTCGTTCTGTTCGGTGATAATCTTGATCAGATATTGATTTAGAATTACGGCGTTTTTCAATAATATCATTCGAGAATTGTTCATAGTTTAATTTTATCTCAAGTTTATGTGCAACATCGGTTAATTCACTCATTAGGTTGACTAATTCGTTAGATGATTTTGACGTTTCTAACTTGCTTGGTTCGAGTTGTAAACTTGCAGACTGTTCTAATTTATTTTCTAGTTGTTCTTCGACTTTGTGTAATTGTTCTACAAGATGTCCCAGCTCTTGCGTAGATTTGGTACTGCTTAAACTTTGTGATATTTGTAGATCATAAGGGTGAATTTCGTCTTCCTCCGATGATAAACGGTCATTTTCTTCATCTTGAATGATAGTTTCATTAATTTGTTTTTCTAAACTTTTTAATTCGGATACAAGATCCCCAAGTTCTTGAGTTGATCTGGAAGTGACCACATCTGATACAGACAAATAGGGTTCATCTGTGGGATGTGGTATTAAATTTTTGCTTTCATCATCTTCATCCTCAATAGACGATAAGGACGTCTCTTGTTCTTCTTGAAGATGCTCTTCTTCAAGTTTCTCTTCTAATTCCTGTAATTCATTAATTAAGTTTCCTAAGTCTTGAACCGAATTTGATGAGATATAATGCTGTTGATCTTCGAGATCGTCTTCTTGTTCATTTTCTACACTAACCTCCGATATGACGAGCTCTGGAATATCACGCACTTGTCGTTCTTGTTCAGACGTGCCTTTAACTAATGAGTTCCAATCAGTTATTTGTTGTTCTTCTTCATTTGCGTGAGCAATACTATCAAGTGACGAATCTAACGGCAGCGCATCGGCACTTGTTGAGTATTTGCTACTATCATTTAAGCTATCTTGTTCATCTTCCACGTTGTCTACCTGTTGTTGGTGTCGTGCTGCCTCATTGAGATTATAACCTTGTTGCATTTTATAATTTAGCATTGTTAATTGAGGCAAATTTTCGTCATCTCTCGTCGAAGACATGGATATAAAACCTTGCGCTACATCTTTTGGAGTATTTTGTATCTGATCGTTTTCGATTGTTTGTGTATTCGTTTCATGGAATTGCTCAAGTGAATGTTCAGTAAGCGTTTCGATTTTTGATGAATTTAGATTATCTGCTAGGCTATCGTAGTCAAATTCCTCATTTATTGCATTTTGTAATATTTTATTAACAATGTCAGCCGATGTTTGAATTAGTAATCGGTCATAGACACTTAATTCTTCTTCTTCCACGTCATCATTATCATTTTTTGATTTTTCAACTAATATTTCTGAACTATCTCTCTTTTGTTGTTCTGTACTAAATTGTTGAATAGACTCCGTGGATAATACTGGAAAGTCAGATTGAAATGGTGCTGATTGATTTTCTAGCGTAGATGAAGTAGTGATATTCAAATGGGTTGGTCTAAAATCATTTTCTGATGTATATAATTGATTATCTTCTAATATCTGATCATTGTCCGAATCCTCACTAATTTCATCTGAACTTTGTCTAGTCGATGGTATTGTGCGACTTATTATAGATGATCGCTGTATATGAGAAACAAACGATGAATCTTGATTTTCTTCGTTAACTGTATTGTCGTTTGAAATATCACGGATAATACTTTCAAGACCTGACGTGGTTGGGAATGTTTCCTGTGTTAAACGTATTTCTACTTCGGGACTTTCCATAGCGTAGTCAATCTGGTCTTCGCTCAAATATTTTTCTGGACGATACTTATCACCATAAATTTCTTGTCTTTGAAACGATGAGTTTGTCCAGTTATCTGGACGCTTCGAAAGATCAATTTCCTCGTCAGATGAAGAATATTCATCAGTTTTATAAGATAATATCTGAGATGATTCTTGATCTTGTAAAACGGGTTTTTGAAAATTTCTTAAACTACTCGCTATCTTTATCAATTCTTCCACACTTGGAGTAAGTTCAGACATTCCTTGAGTAGGCGAGACCTCTTGCATCTCGTGAGAATGTGGAGGATTAATTACAGTATCTGACGACGTAGGTGGTTGTTCTTGAACATTTTTTATAAAATGATCTGCAGTGTCAAAAGAATCATCTGATACAATGTTTTTGTGAGTGACTAGGTCAGAACTAAATTTTCTTTCTGGTCTATATTTTTCCCCATAGATTTCTTGACGTTGGTGTGGTGAAGTTGTCCAATCATCATGAGTGAGTTTTTTATTCTTATTAATATTATGAATGTCATCGATAATCTGATGTAATCCGTTTGATGGCTTAACATCATCTTCATTCAATTGATCGATATCTTCTCTACGCAGAGTGCGTACTCCAGGTGGAACGTAATAAGGATTTTCGGCGGATGATTCAATATATAAGTTTTCTTTAGAGCTGACAGCTCTTAGACTGTCAGTATCTACAGTTTTTACGTAACCGTCTACAGGTTTCGAGATAAATGTTTCAGTACTTTGTGATTCTATTTCTACTGTTGGTGAACTTAAACCAGAGTCTACCGTGAGTTTTTCTGGCTCATACAGTGTATCATTTCGTGTTAAAATCGTTCGATGAATCACTATAGACGGTTCTTGGCTAAACGGTGATCTATATTCTCTTTTAGGCATCATAATATTTTCATCGTGTATTGAATGTCGTTCAACTTCTTGTATTGTATTCATAAACTCCATGGTATCTGGAGACATTTGTTGTTCATCGTCTTCATAGAATTGTTTGGATGTTGTATTTGAACGTAATGGAAAATTTTCAATTTCATGGATTATCTCGTACAATCCGCCACCTTTATTAACTGGCATCTCGGTGGTTATAAAAGATTCAGCAAGTACTTCCTCGGTATCCGATTCTAATGCTTTTTTTAATGAATGGTCGTGAATATCACTAACAATTTGATACAAACCACCATTATTTGACTGTTCATTATCTTTTTGATATAATGACCGTTGTGTATCACCCTCATAAAAAACGTCTGCTGTGATACGTGGCTCTTCAGGTTCTAATTGTACTTTATGTGAAGTATCTTCCACGATTGTTCTTAAATCATCAATATCAGTAGTATACAGTGTTCGATGAGTATCACCTTCATAGAATACGTCTTGGGTAATTCTTGGTGCTTCCGGAATTAGATGTGGAATAACACTTTTTTGTTGTTGACCAATATCAATTATGGTTTGAACAATATTTATTAAATTATGAGTATTATCAAACAAACTGTGATTACGACCTCCTTCATAAAAAACATCACTTGAGATACGAGGACTTTCTGGTATGAGATGTGTAATCACTTTCTTCTCAGGATATGAAGATCGATTTGTTGTTGAAACTATTGAATCTTCTGGAATCAATTTTTGTATATCAATATGTTGTGATTCACGCATTTCGTCAATTATCCGTGTTAAATTATCTAAAGAATATGATTGTTGATTAATATGATCGACTATAGGTTGTGTTTTATTTGAAATAAATGTTGATGGTAAATCTTCAGATGATAATTTAAAATTTGATAATGGTTTACCATCTGACGTACATTGAAAATATTCTGCCATTTGTTCGGGTGTCCACTCTTTTGCAATATCAATATTTCGAACTGATGTTATTTTATTTTCATTTTCTTCCGATAAATCTCTATCTGAAACTTCTACATCGGATGTTGTTACATTATGTGATTGTAAAATTTGATTGTCCGTTGTTAATAGTAAATTATGTGGACGTTCATGTAAATTAATTGTAGATATATCATATATAATTTGTCGTAATTCATCAACATTTTCTTTCAATAATTCTAATGAATGTCGTCGCTCTTGAGAAAGTTGTTCAGTGGTTAATTCATAGTCTTTTTCAGAATTCGGTAATATATCAAAATTAATTTGATTTTTCCCATGTATAGCTTAAATAGACAAAAAAAATAATATGAATTAACTTTAGACACTAAAATAATTTTTTTCATTAGATTTAAAAAAGTATTTTTTAAAATTTACTAATAGTTCTACAAGATATTTTATTGATAGTCTTTCTATGGTTTTGGAACAATCTTACGGCTGAAAAAATTGTAACCATTTTCAAGATAAACTTATAAAGTAAAAATGTTTTTAAATATCAAAATATTTTTTGAAAAATATTTTTTAATATTATAGTATAGATAAACAGTATTTTACTTTGACATAAGATTATTTACTATTCACTATGAGATGTTTAATCTTTGATTTTAGTAAAATTTCTCAAACTTGAAAAAAAAAGCAAATTACAGAGATTTTAGTGTATCTATTAAAATTCAAATCTCGTAAAATCATATTCGAAACTCTATATTTTGATGCAGAATACAAAAAGAAAGTGTATCAAAACGAATACTTACATAGTATTATTTTATATAATTCATCAATTTCTGATTCAATACGATCTTCATTTTGTTTTTTCATATCAATATCATGAACAATCGTCGTTAATTCATCTACTTTTAATTCAAATTCATTCATTTCTGTCGATATTTCTTTATCTTGTTGATGTAACATGTGATCCAAGATATTATCTAACTCTTCTACTTTTACTTCTAATTCTTCTAATTGTTGTCGATTTTCAGATGGTGCCGAACGAATTTTTATCATTTCCGATAATTGTTCTTTCGTATCATAACTTGTTTCTCTATCTGGCGTTATAGGTAACGGGGGAGATTGACTAAATGATTCCGATTCAATACTAGTTTTTGGTGATTGCTGTTGTTTTTCTAGAATGTCAGAAAGAACTTTGTCTGTGATAGATGCTGATATATTTTCATACAATTGTGTCAAAGAATCTTGTTGAATTAATTTATCTTTTGAAAAAACTGTAGATTCATCCACAACTTGTGTAGGTTGAAACTGGTCTTTTTCATATGAATTAAATTCTGATGCTTGATGTTCCAAATCAGATGGAGGATATGTTGATAAATAACCGTTTTCTTCCAGTGTTAATAATTCTTGAGCGGATGAAATTGAAATAGATGGTGCTAGAACTTCTGCTAACCCAGTATCCTCGTTAGACGATTGTTTTATTTCCATGGATTCTTCATTAAATAGATTTAAATTTTGTTCAGTAAATGGTGAACGTGTTTGTGATTGCGAGACTGACGGATGTTCATATTCACCGATAATTTCATCTTCATCTTTTGTAGATAATACGAATTCTTGCGTATTAGAAATTGATGGATCGGTGAGCTTTTCTGAATCGGCAATTGACTCAATAGACCATTGTGATTCTCTATCAATATCTAATGATTCTTTTGGCAATTTTTCCTCGTCAACTTGTTGCGCTGTTTTTTTATGTGTTTGAGAAGAGAATTCATCCTCTGAGTCTGATAAAAATTGATCCATAGACTCGGGTAATTTTACTGTAGCACGTTTCATGACTGGACTCGACATTGTTCGTAAACGATTTTCCGCTTCATGTATTGGAATATGGTTGGCAATCCAAAATGAATTTCGTGTTTTGACAAGAAACGATGTTTGTTGATTTGTTATTGCATCATAATGAATTTCAACTGATTCTCCTGTCAATTCGTTTGTGAGTGATGGTAATAACGAGATATTTTCAATCATCGGTGATGTTTGTGAAGCAACAGTTAATGATGGTAATGTTAATATCATTGGTAAATTATTAATATTAAACTCTTGAATAGGAGATGTTGCCTGATCAATGAACGTCGGTTTGAGAGTCGAAATAGAATGTGAACTAACTCCACTAACTAAAATTTTATTAAATGATGCAATTTTTGGTATTGGTTCACTGCTTAGATCACCGCAAACCTTTCTACCAGAAATTGTGTCAACATTTTCTCTAGTGCTAAATATAGCAGCATCAATTTGTTCAACTTGTTTTGCAGGTAACTCAAAATGTTCTTTCAATGATTCTAGTATTGTTGATGTAACAGCAGTAATTCCCTCCGTAACAGCTAGACGAGATTTTAGTGCTGATAATTCATGTTCAGCTGTCAATAATTCTGACTGTAATAATGGTGATTCCTTTTCTAAATTTGTTATGTTTTGTTCAAATGAGAGTTTTGTTGGTGGTGACATTCGTGGTGATCGAGTTTTCGGTAGAATTTGTTGTTGTTGTTGTTGTTCTTCGCTTTGATAAGCACGACGATCTTCTAACCAATTTGATTGTATATGATCAGCCGTACTCGAGACAGGCTGTTGATGATGACTACTGACGTTTGATGATGCAATTTTTGACGTCTTTTTTGATAGGTCAGGGGATATTTCCATCAATTTTGAACGTATTTCGCGAATGGTATTAGGTGATGAAGTGTATGATGGTACAGTTGATATTGAAGACAAAATTGTATTTATATCCGAGGAATGCTGCCCTAATTCATCAGCTGGTCTAGTATATTTTGATAGACGTTGAAATGATACTGACGTCTTATTTAAACCTGATATGGATTGAATAGGTGAAATAACGGGTAATGTAGCTGATGGTGAAATACTATCTATTTTTTTATTAAGTGATCTAGTCTTAGACGGAATAGTACTAGCAGAAACAGAAGTCAAAGGAGAAAATGAAGTTAAGATAGAAGATAATTGCTCTTCTCCGTCGGCAATGTTTCGTACTTCTGTAAACAATAGAAAAAGACAAAAAAAAATTAATGATTACGCATAATTGTAAATATGTGCGTAAACTGCAAAAAAAAAAGAAAACTACTTAGATGGTTGACCCTTCAAGGGATTTAATTGAAATAATTCAGCTCAGGTTTTATTTTAAATAGCCAAACGACTCGAAAAAGATTCGTTTTTTTCTGAAAAAATTGAGTAATATATATATATGTGTGTGTGTGTGTATGTGTGTGTGTGTGTGTGTGTGTGATACGGTTAATGAATGTTGTAATCAGAAATTTAAACTAAATACACAGACGAAGAAGTGCACAAAGATAAAAGTTCATGTAATACAGCAATGGACAAGACGTTCTGAAGCAAAATAACATAGTTTCGTTATATAAAGCAGGATGAATGAGTTAAATTTCAAAAAAAAAACATTTGTGGGTTGCAAATTAAATTATTGTTCTTTCGTTTCAAATTGTCATATCTCAATTAATACCTCTCTATGTGTGCTGCTGTTTAAGAAAAGCATGGGTAATTAACAACATCTAAGATCAAATTTACATTAAAAAAAAAATTGATGCTATTTTTATCTTCTTTAAACGATTTCCACTTTTTCTATTGTTTACAAAGTCGATAAGCTTTGCAAGATAGAGACATGAATGGCTCAAAGAATTTAACGGTATGATTAACAATGTGCGTGCAAAATATGACTTGATATGAAAGTAATAGATTTCATTAAATGTCAATTTTTCTATATTATTACTGATTATAAAAGCAAAGAATTAAATCAATTAATTAACAAATAACATAGATTTACATACAAAAAGCTATATACATATTATATATATATATATATATATAAATATATATATTACATTTAAAAGAACTATGTATCTTACAATATTATATATTTTCATTTTGACATTTATCATCACTCAACTATTTGTCAACTACTGAAATTAAACTAACACCAATAGTTTGATTTCTCAATATGTCAATTTTTATTCCTTTAAACATATGAACACTGCTCTAGCCTACTAAAAACTAATCTTATATAGCATTTTAGCCTCTTTTCCTAAAAATCGATCATTATTTTGAAATATAACCACTTCTATTTATAACTTGACGAAATATTATAATTGAGTAAACATTTGTACTAACAAAAGTATTGAACAGAAAACAAATAATAGTCAGAAAGTAGTTTCATCAAGTGCTATTTAAACACCAAGTAAATTAATATGCAGAATAACAACAGAAAAAGCAAACACGACAAACAATCAAAATTGTCTTATCCATAAATGAAATATTAAAATAAACAATCGTTCAAACTGATAACAACGTGATGTACAGAGTGGGTTAGTTTTTTTTATTTTTTGGTTTTTATTTTTGCATGCAAAATATTTTTGATAATAAAAAGTGTGTAAAGCAAAAGAAAAGTTTAGCCAAACATCAAACCGTATCACACACACATCTTTTTTTTTTTTCAATATAAACAAGAACTTATATTAGTTTGTTCGTTTGTTTGGATTTTTTTTTAAATGACTTTGAACTAGACTCAAATCACAAATTCTTGTTTTTCCAGGTTTTTTTTTGGTTTCAATAAAATTTGAAGACATACATAGTAATAGGAGACAAGAGCAAAAAAAACTGATTTAAAAAAAAATGTTTCTACTATTGCTGTATAATTCATGCGTGGCAATCATTTAGATAAATAAATAGATGAATAAATGAAACGATGCCACATGCTATAAACGTATATATAAATATATATTTTCGATTTTTAAGTTTTGCTTACGCTTAGTTTTCAGCTAAACAAAATTGGATGTTTTTATAGTTTATGTATGTGTGTGTGTGCATATATATATGTGAGATAGAATAATTTTTTTCTCTCCGTATTTTTAGTATGTATACAAAAAAAAAAAGAGATGATAATAAGATTTTTCCGCTTCTGACACATAACAAAAAGCATGCAAATGAAACTTACCACTCGGTTTTGTGCGTGTATCCATATTATCTAAATAGAAGAAAAACAAAAATAAATATTAATTATCATTTATGAACATGTTTAACATAAAACATTTTAATTCGAGCTTCACTCAAATAATATATAGTGATGAGAGAAAAATTCATGCGTAAAAATAATTCTGTTCATTTTAATTGATACTAGAATTATAGATAGAAAAAGAAAACAATAGATCAATTCTGAAATGCATAAGTGCTAAAATATTTTATTTTTATTTGTTTTACCAAATATAAACGAGCATTCTCACAATTAACATTTTGTTCTTAGTAAGAACAAAAATCTTGGTTTTTTTTTTTAATATTGTTCAAATGTCAAATTCTGTTTACTGAAGAAAAACATTTGGTAATTATTCTTTTGTACATTGATGCAGAGAAATAAACGTAATAATAGTAGTAGCCACATGCTTAAAACCATTCCAGAATGAAAAAACAAAAAAGCAAAACACTTAATATTATATTCACTGACATATTTTTTAATTTCATAATAACCATTTTAGAAGTATAGTGAGTTTATGTAATAGATATCTGCAAAAAGGAGAGAAAAATAAAAATCCCGGCATATTGTCATGCTGCAAATATATTAAGTATAGAAAAATGAAATATTATTATAAATACATGCATATTTTCATCGTTTAGGTTCATCAAGCGGGATTTAATGAATATTATTTCAAAATGCATAAATAAATTTGAACCAAGATGAAATAGCGATTATAATATACGATCTCGCAAGATCATGCTTTATATATTCACACTAAACACGTATATTTATTTATATATTAATCACGGCAACTTGATAATAATCATGGATTATAAAATTTCTACCTTCAACGATATGTTTGGATAGCGTTGCAGCTGTAGCATTATTTTCATCACTAATTTGATTAATATTTGTTACTAAACTTGATGTTGGCATTTTTAAATTTATATTTTCAACAAGATCTATATCATTATCACTTATTTCGGATGGGATCTGATGTATTTCTGGTGTCAATGTAATATCACTAAAATCATTTGATGAATTGTTCAATGTACTAAGAGCTGATTGATAGACGGTTGATAATGATGATGTCGTTGTAGGTATATTATCAAAACTTTCATACTGTGTGGAACCAGATAATATCGAGGAGGTATCATTTTTCGATATAATCGATGGAGAAGAAACCATTTCATGAAGACTAGAAGATAACAGTTGAGTTTGTTGTTGTTGTTGTTGTTGTTGTTGTTGTTCACCCTCAATTGTTTGTGAATCATTTAAACTAACAAATGAACCATGTAAATTATCATAATCGGAGATTAATGAGCGAGGTGTTCCACTTCGAATTTGTTGAACATTATCGTAAAAATTTGCATCAACTGAATCAATACTATTTTCTTTACTGCGCAATGAACGATGATTATAATTATCTGACCCTGCGTCTAATGAGTAAGGCATCAACGATGAATTACCGTTCTTTAATATTAAATCATCATCATTTGTTGAAGATGTTGTCAATATTGAGTTGACCATAGGATCGGCACGGGATATAACAGTGACAGATGTGGTTGTTATAAGAGGTGTAGTATTTGATAAAGTGGGTGGCGGACAAAAATAAATGGGCGAAGTAGGAGGAATAGAGGGTCGCTGTACATTTTTAGCGTCAGTATTAGAAGTTTTAACAAAATCAGTTAACGGAGAAAAAACTTTAGATAAATTAAAACCAGAATCAAGTGAAACAAACATTAATGGTCTGCTTGTAGATGCAATTGATGGTTTTGGTTGCTCAATTTCGGTGATTGTCAAAGGTTGTTCCTGAATATTGAGACCGGTTTTAAATGAATCAAGAAATGTATTCATTCCTCCACTTGATTCACTTGCATAACCGGCTTGATCGCTAATGGAATCTCTTGGCGTAGATGATGATGTTAGTGTGGTTGTGATACTACTTTCACGAGATAATGGGTTACTATTATCAAGTTTCGATAATTTTGCTAATAAAGATTGACGATCTTTATTTATCATTGTGTCAATATCACGAATTTTATCAACATCAGATTGCGTTTGATTTTCTTCGTCGAATGTTTGTTGTATTTCTGCAGCTATTTTTTCAATGTTCATTGCTGTTTCTACCGAGTGAGATTGGATATCGGTGTCGTTTGATGATTTTGACTTAGCTTTGATCTCAGATAGTGAATAGTGAGGATTTAAAGTGGCGTTCTTGACTGTATCGGAGGGTTCACTGGTCGAATCGATCGACGATGTGACAGATGTACTTTGAACAGCTGTTTCTTCAATGAAAAGAGGTGTATCTATGGTTGTTGTTGTCGTGGTATGAAAATAGGGAATTGATAAAGTATCCACAGAAGTTTGAATAGGTGATGGTTCGTTAGTATCAAATGTTGAAGAAATGACAGTTATAACGTTGGATGAAGGAGATGAATCTGATGATAACAATGACTTATCGACTTCATTACTACTAGTTTGTTGACTAGAAATGGGTCCTACAAGTGGATTTATAATGTGTGAACATAAAGCGGTTTCTAATTCATTTTGTTCACCAAGAATTTCAATCATCGAATGATCGTTCTCATCATCAATTGGCGAGTTTAAAAATTCCGTTGTAACATTTTGTTGAGGTTCTAATGCTAAAGATGTAGCCGTAGATAAATCAATGACAGTTTTAAAGTTTGGCTGATCTGGTATAAGATCAATTTGTTCGGGTAATTTATCAGACATTAGAGCGATGTAACGTGGCGCAGCTTCAAATCGATGAACATCATTACTTTTGATCAATGATAATACGACGCTTGTACGACTTAGCGGTTCATAAGTTTCTGGTCTCAATTCGTAGACCGTATCACTATGATTTATTTGTCGACTTGCTTCTCGAATATGTTTCATGATATCGCTTAAATATTTTACATCAACATTATCACTGTCATCCGATTTAAATTGTTCATCATGGGTGACAATTTCTTGATTATATGGATGAATGCCTGTTTCTATATCAGACAAAATTTGTTCTAAGTTATTCGTATGTGTTTTTTGTTCGTTATCAACATTATTAGAGTGAGATATCAATTCTGATTTATTCGACGGTTGTTGAATGTAAACAAATTGTGGTGGATGAGAGTATTTCAATAATTCAACATCATCAATACCATTGTCGGGCATTCCGAACGTATCAACAATATTCAATACTTTTTTAACAACATCATCAGTTTGTTGTATTAAATTATAATTATCGAGTAATGATTCATCGTTATTATTACTATTAAATATGAGATCATCGTGAGGAATAAACTTTCGTGGAGGTTTCACTGGAGGTGTTGCAGACAACAAGGGTGTTAATACATCGGCTGATGAAGATGAATCACGGTGCTGAGGAGGATTTGTTGGTGGTAAATCCGTAAGAAGAAGCGATGACAATGTAACTGAGTCGAGAAAAGTTGTCACAGGTGTTGATGGTTCGGAGAGTGTATGTTCTTCTGTTGAAACTATTGTACTTTTTATTATATCTGAATTTTTTTCGTCATCAATAGATGGACTGGTATGTGGTGGCGGATAAACGATTGAAGGATGATGCTGTAGCTCAATACCAGTACTCTCTGAAACAGTTTCTTGAGACACTTTTTGAGTGTCAACTGATGATAATTCGTTGTTATTAATAGATGAAGTTGTTGTCGAGTCGAAAGATCTCATTTTATTCATGGTTTTTTTTAACGGTTTAACAACAGCATGTTTTAGAGCATTGGCAAGTGCTCGTGCCGGCTCCGGAATTATTTTTGATTTTGATAAACGTTCAGCAACGTTTGATGTTCGACTAACAGATTTTTCTTCAGGCAAAATAAACTGTTCAAGTGGTGATATAGGAGAACTAGAGGACTCAGTTGACTGAGTATCAGTATTTGTCGAGTCTCGTTTAGATACTACGTTATTTGTTATAATAAAAGAATCAGGTGGAAGATACTCACGAATATCATCTAACGTTTGTCTTGCTCCTTGAGCCAGTTGAATAACAGCATCTGGCTGATCATCCAGTTGTTCTTGTTGTGGTTGATCATTTAATTTATTAAAATCAATTTTGCTTGGTGAAACAAACGTATTTTGTATGATTGTTTCCATAATACCACTACTGTTAGCGATATTATTGTTTGGTTTATCATACGTCATTGTACCATTTGTTGTAGCAGCCATGTCATTATCGTTGGTGCGTCTTCCATTTGCATAGACATGCACACTGCTACGATCATTCTCATTTGTAATACCAGCTATAACAGGAAATTCTTTAACAATATTCACAATGCTATAATCACCCGGCTGATGACGCGACGCTTCTCGAGATAATGTTTTTTTTTGGAATTCTAAAGTAAAAAGGAAAAAATACAACTTATGTAAACTTATTCCTTGAGAAAGAAAGACTTTATACATTGAGGAAATTTCATTAAGATAAAAAAAAACATTTTTTTGTAAGCATAAATTAACCGTATATAACTATGTGATATAAAACTAATAACTTGAGCTGTACTGAAAGTTTAAAACTGTATATTTTGATTATATCGTATCAGAAACCATGTTCAGTATAAAATACTTTTTACTCACTTAGAAGTACTTAGTACTTTAGGTCATTTAAAAATACAGTTGTGAACTTTTTAACAACAATTCCAACATACTTTTTCGGTTTTTTGAACTAAATATTCCACAACACAATTCATTTTCATACATCATCATTTGACTAGGCACAATACACAAAGAATGAACAACTAATAGTTATGTATGACATCATCGCTCTAACTATAGTAAGACTAAATATAAATCATTCACAGATACTGTATCGATCTAGTAGTATCTCTTATTTATAGAAGCAATTATGGAGACGAATGAATTAGCCTTCAGATTATCAGTGATGTGTATATTCTACTTATCACCACCATAAAATAGCGAGAAAATGTGTGAATGACGCAATCAAATCATTATCATGGATCAACGATATGCACACGATTAAATATCTGATCAAAAAAAATTTTCACGTATTAATACAACGATCAAGAGAGAGAGAAATTAAATGGCACACAAAGAGAAAACAATATCAGATATTCCATTCCTGAAAAATCAAATTCTTCCTTTTGTTTTCATTTGTTGTTGTTGTTAAATAGAAAAAGACCGCCGACATCGTAAAAAAACAGACGTCCCACGTTCCCATCAAAATACAAAAAATGCTTTTTAGTCTCATTTCTCTGAAACCGCAACGCTAATTTTCTTCACTTTTCTCAAAAATGCAGTAGAAGGCTTATTTCTTGAGTCTCTGTATGTTTTAACAGAAATTTCAGTGAAACTTCCATTTTTATCTGTTGTTTAAAGTTGATATTTGTAATAAGTACAAAAAACCATCACATCTACTGATGTGTATACTCAAGATTGATTTGATAAAAAAAAATCTCAAAAAATCATCCATACGTTGAATGATTCCAAGCTGATTTGCATTTTACACAATTCCAAAGAGAGGAAAAAAATTATTATTAGTACGTGCTCAATAGATCTACATGAATAACTAAACATACGTGTAGGAAACTGTTAAACAATCTATCACTTTTATACAAATATCTGTTTAGTAAGCAAACTATTCAGAGAAATTTCTAGAATTTTTCTGTAATGTTCTAAATATTATACACTGTTTTTCCAGTATATTTATCGTCTCTCAATAAACATGATAAAAAACATCTGGTTTGTTCAATGTAACGTTAAATCTTCCGGAAAAAATTTTTTCTTCTATATTTTGAGACGAATACTCGTACGTTAAACAATGAGAAGAAAAAAAAGAAACCTAGAAAACGACTATAATATTTATATGCCACGAGAGGTTAAAAACTCTTAACATGATGAAAACAAAACATGCTAAGATTTTTGCAAAACTTTTCTATTTTGCTCCCAGTCGTGTGTGTTGTGTAAATCAAGTAACTAAGAGAAAAAAAAAGATTTTCTCCTTTATTCAAATCTAGTTAAAAGAATAATAAATGAATGTAGTAGAAAAGATAACATGAGTGCAGTTAGAGGACTTTTTCAGACCTAATTTTGTAACTACATGTGTTTAGGGAGGGGAAGGCACCCGTTTTTTTACCATCTTGTAGCGTGTACGCCAGAATATATGTTTCAAAGATTTTTGGGCTTCTATAGTTTTCAATAAAAAAAAATTCAGGTTTTATCGAGATTCTGCCCCTGTCTTAAAATCTTATTAAAATGTTCACTTTTAGATATGAAGAGTTGATTCTAGGGCAGTTCGATAGAAGACATTAAATTGTGTACGGAACAAAATTCAAAAGAATTCTCGAATAAAATTTTACATAGAAATTTAACTTTTATTTACCCGGTGGGATTTTAGAGCTAAAAGTATTTTGAAAAATGCCTTACTTCTAGTTTCGTTCGAAGCAAGCATTTTTTAACAAAACTCTGAGCACAAAAGCTGTTCAGAATCTAATTCTGAAGTCCCTCACAAGAGGTTTTTTCAAAAAATTTTAAAATTTCGCATTTCAGTTTTAATACTTCAAAAAAATGTTTTCGAAAAAAGCTCTTATGAGGGACTCAGAATTAGGTTTTGAACAACTTTTGTGCTCAGAATTTTGTTAAAAAATGCTTGCTTCGAGCGATACTAACCGCTAGGTGCGATGAAAAATTCTTCACGTGAAATTCTCTATCAGATGAGACATTGCTTGAATTTTTCCGTTAAGTCATTATTTTGTAAATGGTACTTTAAACTAGTAGAGTAGACTAAATTAACTTTATTCTAGCACTAATTAGTCAATAACAGGAAGGAAAGTACAAAATTTTTTAAATATTTTCTTATAGTAAATATTCTCCATACATTTCTCAATTGATCTACGAAAGAAAAAATTTTTTTATTTAATCTACTCTCACCTTAGTGAGGAATTGATAGTCCATATAATTAGTCTATATCTTGATAAAAATTGAATTATGATAAAGGCATAATTTATTGAGAAATATACCTTGAGCAGATATTTATCAACGATAAAAATCATAAATTTAGACAAACAAATTTCTCACCTGAACTTAGACTAGTCGGAGTTGTTTTTCCATCATCTTTGACACGTAAAACTCGTGGACTGCCGTAAGTATCATCAAGATCGGCTAAATAAAAGAAAATATTTATATTAATTAAAACAGTCTAAAATGTGCCACAGGATATAGTATACGACAAAAAAACTAAATTGGAATGTAATGCGTATTCATTTACATTGTGTAGTATTCAATAACAACACAAACATGCTAACATAATCACCACACAAATCCGGTACAAAAACATTTCAAATGTCAGACTAATTTCAAAAGTTTCTATCTCAATTTTAATTACATGCATTTTCATGCAAGAACACACTTCACTCTATCGAACCTCTGCCCGATGTAAGATTTTGACTTTCTCTCGTTAAACGATTTAATTTTTCTCTTAAACTTTCAATATGCATCATTTCAAATGCTGTTGAATGACAACTCGATGGGGTTATTGAACCCGAATAAGCACCGCCTCCATGATAAATTGAATAATAACCACCATAACGAGATGCGGGAGTAGTCGCTTTACTCGAATCAACATAATGTAAATGATCATCGTAATGATCACCTGAGATAAAAGAGATAAATGATACTCACAACACAAACTTTACAGAACTAACACAATTGTTATTTATAAATTTTAGTACGTCGACAACAAAAAAAGCTCAATATATTACACAATTTTTACAGTAACAGACAATTTCTTTGGAAGAAAAGTACCCCTCATTCCTACAGTAACAATTGTATCTGCGCTCGAAGACGAAGAAGATGTAAATTCTTTTGAATGATCACGTGATGGAAATTTAACTTTTAAAGGTTCAAATTGTTTAAATTGTGGTACCACTGGTTGACTTATAGTTATAGCAGTTTCTTTAGCTATTTTAATTGGCTGTCGTAGTTCAATCTTTTCGCCATCTTCTTCTGTTTCTTCAAGAGTAATGGTTTTAATTATAGTAGTTGTTGTTGTTGACGGTTTTGTAGATATGATATCGGTAATTTTTATTGTATTATCATCGATTCCATCTTCTCGAACTGGAAAGATGTAAAATCGAACTAATGTATATTTATCTTGTCCTATACGTTGAAATTATACTCAACAACAGATGGACAAAAAACTTCACCTCTGAAGAAGTGAACAGAAAATTTGTGTACTGTTTTAATAATGTAATTCAATATTAGGATCGATGTAAAGCTTACGCTTCATTAAAGGAAAAAATTAGAAAGGTTCAAAGTAAGACACTATAATCTACTGCTCTAAAACTGGAATATTTGTAAACATGAACTTATTGATAAATACAAAAACATACTTGATTTTGAATATTTTTCTTGCCGTTTTCTTTCGTATTCATCGTCACTTTCAAAACCTTCATCGGTCTAAAACATAAATTATCATTACATGTTTCAAAATAAACTATTATATTTTATAGAAATAGTAAAACCTACTCGTCTTCCATGTGATTCGCCACCTCGACTAGTTAAACGAGCTTTAGCCACTTCTTTTTCAGCTGCATCCGTGACCCATTCAATATTGAATACACAACTATGTACAATATTTTCTTTTCCAATTTTTCTTAATGCTTGTTGTAAGCAATTACCTAAAAATAATCCATATACGAGATAAAATTGAATGAGAGTGAAGCATTTTTTTACTATTTTACCAGTCGCTTCGGGACCTCTTGATTTTAACCAATATCTCAACATGTGAAGTGCTGCATTTTCACCATGTTGATCCATTATTTGTGTCACTTCTTCTTCACTCAGTTCTAATTCAGCAGCTAAAGCGGGCCAATCTTGACCCAAATGTTTTGCGATGTCAGTTAAACGTATTTCTCCTTTGCGATACATATCGGCTGAAAAAAAACAAAAAACAAATTGAGGGTATTGGTTGATAAACAAAAAATGAAGAATATCTACCATCCGATCTTGAGTCCGCATGACCATCGCTAATTGTCATCGAATGCATTGCATGTAAACGTTCTTCATTCTAAACAAAACCAAGAGAAATGTATTTTAATTATATTAAAAATTATGATGGTAACAACAAGTATTAAGGGTACCCGCCCCCCCCTTTTGGGGCTTTCCGTAGAAATGCTGTGAAATAAAAATTAAAAGTCACTAGGGCTTCGCATTTTTAGAACTGATCGGAAACTCAATGGAGCACTTTTTCGTTCTTGTTTCAAGTTTTCAAGTATTGCCGTTCACCAGTTTTTCATTGTGCCACATTACGACCCCCCTTAAATTTCACCCGATCGCGTTGAAAATTTTACCAGAGGTACTCAAGGGCATTCCGCAGAGCTAATTTTTCGGAAATTTTTTTCAGACCTTTCCTGGTCGAGTTATAGGAAAAATACTGAAAAACGTCTCAAAAACCAAGTTTTCCAATTTTGGAAACCCTATAACTCGGTAAAGAAAAGTCTAAAATAAAATTCCAAAAAAATAGCTCTGCAACAGAGTCTTGAGTACCTCTGGTAAAATTTTGAACGCGATCGGATGAAATTTAAGGGGGGTCGTAATGTGGCACAATGAAAAACTGGTGAACGGCAATACTTGAAAACTTGAAACAAGAACGAAAAAGTGCTCCATTGAGTTTCTGATCAGCTCTGAAAATGCGAAGCTCTAAAGACTTTTAGTTTTTATTTCACAGCATTTCTACGGAAAGCCCAAAAAGAGGGGAGGGGTATACCCTTAATCTTAGTTAAAAAAGGTTAATGTTTGAAATGTAAACCGCAACAATTCGCTTTTCAGTGGTAAAATTATTTGTGGTTAATTGAAATAATAAAAAACATGCAGGTGAATGTACAACAGAAATAAAGCGACAACAACAAAAGAAATGAAAACTAAATCTATGACAATTCTTACTTCGAGAAAATCCTAGAAAAAAATGACACAAAAGTATGTTTTAGTACCAAACAATTGTTATTCTTTTGGATCATCCCAAACAAATATCTATACGGCTGCTATTTATCGCAAGGAGTCAGTTTATAACACTTAAAACCATCATGCAATACTATTCATGATATGACTGTCACACAAATATTATAGAAAATAGATGCGGTGCATTTCTGAGTTATATTAAACCGTTCAAAATATAAAAATTTCCTTTGGATAGGATGCCAAAAAATCTATCTATTAACTTATTCAATTCATAATTATTTTAATAATCACTTACTTTATCATATGATGGTATAGAAATATTCAAATTGCAGATTGCTTGTAGTGCCTGTGTATCGACAACATTTTGTCCATTGACAATTATATTTCCATTTGTTAACGTTGCTGATGTTGATTTTTGTATCGTTGCTGTTGTACCTGATGTTGTTTGCAAATTATCTTTATAAAAACTCATTCGTCCATTTTCTTCTTGATGTGGATCACGTATCCGAACAACAAATGGTAAACGATTTTCACGAAATGAACGAAAAGTGATTATTAACTGATCACTTGTTTTAACAACCGCATTTAAATTACCACCAACATCAACATAGATACTATTACCATTAAGAACCTATTAATAATGACAACAGTAAAACAATTGAATAAATGAATTTATATGTGTGTATTTACTTCAACTTCTTTCGATTTTGCTATCTCGGTAAAATGTTCTTGCATTTCTAACGTTTTATTTTCTTTATCATCTGTCACACAAAAGACACGAACCATTGCTTCATTGAGATCATGACGCTTAGCAAATACAACAAAACGAGACATGTATGGAACAGATGTTGCTTCACGATAAATATCATGAGCCATTTTAATTACATCTTGAACGCCTTGAGCATCAATGAGCCAAAATCTGTATGAAAAAAGAAAATGGTTGGATCATAACAATTAGTCAAGTTTTCGCTATTACCTTGCAGAGACTGTTGTTGTAAATGTTGCACAATCATTCGAAAATGTAACTGGTGTATGCCCGGTAATATCGTCAAATTGTGCAGCATGTGTACCTCCCGTAATACTACATAATAATCGTAAAGTTTGTGAATCACTTGAATAAGCACCACTTTGTTGATGTTTAGATGACGATGATGTAGTTGTCGATGATTTTGGTAATGGAATTGTTAATGTAATGGGTTTATGAAATTTTCTTCGACGAGGTTCAACCGTTACAACTGGACTAACATTGACACGTGTACCATATGAACGATGAACAATTTGATGTGAAATCGGTAGCACATGTAACGAAACACGAATACGTTTTTGTAAAGCCTTTTCTGGAATAAGTGCTTCTACATGTGATACGACGGTAGAATTTAATACACCGCCTTTATCATCAATAAAATTTGATTCTTGTCGTACACGTGTAACCAAGGCAAAATACCGAGGAAAGTCGTTTGTTATTATACGAGTTATACGTTTCGAATGTAAATCTTCAACGTTGTCTAATTCTACAGAAGAAAATAAATCTCTAGTTATCATTTTTGGATAATAAGATAGAATAAAATACTATATTACCTTCCATATCGATTGTTTCGCCTAGTGCTTCTTTTACTGCTTCGTCAGTCATTGATCCTGGATGTTCTGTCCATTTTTCACCATTGTCACTTCTTAAAACAACAATTTCACGTTCACGACCACGTAACGATGCAAAATGTGGTATTTCCAAAATGACAGGTCTTAAATATCAAAAAATATGAATTAATATTGTAAAATAAAATAAAAAATAGAACATTTCTTACCCAAGAAATTTACAAGCAACAGGACCAACTTCTAATACACGTGCAGCCAATGCTTCGCCTTCATTCAACGGTGGTGGAATAGTTAGTTTTTCTCGTTTTACGAAACGACATGTAATTCTTGTTGGCATACTAGCGCGTTTTGGTGGTATAATAACACGAACACCAGAATGACGACAACCTCTCATAGCACCGCCGCGCGCATCAACAAGAAAACTAACTAAAAACCTATAATAGAATATAAACATTAGATTACAAGAGGAAAATTAATTTTCTTCTTTGTTAATGTGATCAATTAAGAAATGAACCAGACACAATTTACGAGAACTAAACGAATAATGTGTTATTTCACGTGTAATATGGCAACCGATTATCAGCAACCATAGTGAAAGTTAATTTGTAAGAAGCAAATAATCTTCATGCAATAACAATATGAATTAGAGTTATGGTTCTACGTTATTTAAAACTTCTTTTTTTTGTTGGAATATTCTACTGATAAAGTAACTTTTAAATAGTTCTATCCACTTCCTTCACCAAATTAAAATTTTTTTTACTCAACGTAAACTGATTCAAATACCAAACAAATACGTAAAAGCGGTAGAATATGCTTGTATATACACATCTTAGTATACAACTTTAATACACTTTACGTACAGACAATTAGATGGACATGTTAAACGACAGAGAAAAACTATGTTTAAGTGATGTTAATATAAATGATTAGAAGAAAATGAAAAAACGATAGAAAACTTACGATCGACACTGAAACCGTTCCCTATGTAACCGATAGATAAAGAAAAACAAACACAATAATACAACACAATACGGACAGGCAAATATAACAGACTGTATCTACTATCAGAGATTTTCTTTTTATTATTAGAAACAATTCATTTTTAGTTTCTTTTCTATTCTTACCCGCCATGTTTTGGTTTTGTGATTTGTTCATTGTCAAATTGTTGTGCTTCATGTAAATTATCTCGTGATTCTGTCCAATCGGTAACAGCTCGCATTGGATAATCTGATTCTTCCTAGATAAGAAAGTGAACACTTAAGCTTTTAATTAGAATTTTTCTTTTTTACTTTAACATACTTTGTTAAATGATGGTTGATTTAATTTACTTTCTTCTGCTTCATTCAATGTACCACCATCACGTAAATATTGCATATGAGCATTCGAACTTGTATCACCGAGCATATCTAAATAATTTATAATAAAAAAATTTAATCAATTAAAATAGTTTTGATATTTCTTTCTCTTTCTTTTTCTCTCTCTCTTATATAAATAGCATTCACATGCAGATATCTCTTAGAAGGAATGTCATGCTTGTTTAAAGCATTCGTTTATTTCTTTGCTTTTTTCATCAGATGAGAACATCCATATAAGAAAAAGGATCGAAGCATCGAGTATGATAGTTCTTTTTTATTAAACAGTCATCATCATTATCAGGCAACATTCTTGTGGCAATGTGCTACACTTACAATAGGAACTCTTATTAATATCGTTCTGATTAGTGATAGGCGCTTGCTCTGTAGCAACGACAATAATAGATTTTTTACGCCACATTTCTTTAAATGATGGCAATGATACTATATTTCTCGATTTACACCGACCAAGTTCAGGATATGTATAGTCGTAGGTATCTTCATCATTTTTAGCATGTGCATCTGTAACGAACAACTCGTAACGTATTCGGTCGTTTGTTTAATACAAAAGAAAAAAAACTTTAGTTTTTACCTGTTTCATCATCCGAATCCGTCAATGGTTGTTCTTCATGTGATATTTCAGGTGCTTGTATCTTAAAAAGAAAAGAATTATCATAAATACTGAATGCTATATTTAATATTTGTCATCGTATAATATATTCATTACCTTATATCTCTCCTCTGTAATTAATTCATGTTTACTAGCTATTGTTGTTTCTGTAACAACTTTTAATTCTTCGACAACAGATATATAGCCTAGACGTTGAGCAATTGCTAATGGTGTTTGACCATGCTAAAAAAATTTAAAAAAAACTGAAATATTAATTATCAAATATAGTAGAATAAGTTTAACAAACCTTTGTTGTTTTATTTGGAGATGCTCCATTTTCTAACAATAATTTTACTATTAGTACGTGACCTTGTTGAGCAGCTGAATGTAAACATGTAAAACCAAGCTAAAATAAAAACCATCAGTATACATGTATCAATTTAAAGTAATGTTAATATTTACATTTGTTTCAACGTCAACATCTGCATTTAATTGTAACAAATATCGAACCATATTTATTTGACCAAAATGACAAGCAACATGTAATGGTGAATAGCCTGATAATGTTTGAGGATTAATATCAGCACTTTTATTAATAAGAGCTTCGGCACATTTAACACGATCTTCTTGTGCACATAAATGTAGTGCACGTAATAAACATTTTGATGATGCATTTGTATCAGCATGATTTTCTAATAATAAATAGACCATATCACTATGACCTTCTTGACATGCTAAATGTAATGGTGTAAAACCACCATTAGATGCAGCATTTGTATTCGCATTATATTCGAGTAACATTTCAGCTATATCTAATTGATTTTTTTTTGAACAAATATGTAATGGTGTATAGCCATTTCGAGCTGGTAATTGCGAGGCACCATGTTGTAGTAATAATAAGGCAACATGACTATGATTATAATGAATTGCAACGTGTAAAGGAGTTAAATCATTCTAAAAAAATGTTTCAAAAGTTTTTCTATTTGACTATTTAGTTCATTTATAAGTGTATACATTACCTTTCCTTGAATATCTGATGATGCTCCTTTTTGTAATAATAAATTTGCCACTTTAATATTTCCATATTTACTACATACATGAAGAGGCATAAAATTTTTCTAGAAATAAAAAAAGATAATAAATAATCGAATTCTTGAATTAAACAATTTTCTTTCTACTTTTGTAGCAATATTCAATGATGCTCCATGATCAATAAGTAAACTGGCAATTTCTTCTTGTCCTTCTTTAGCTGCAATATGTAAACTTGAATAACCATCTTTTGTTACATTATCAACATTGGCACCATGTTTCAATAGTAGATTAACAATATCAATATTTGATAGTCGAGTAGCTATATGTAAAGCAGTTTGTTTTTCTTTTGCTTTAATATCAATTGTGGCACCGTGTTTTAACAACGTTCTTATTATATCAATTTGATTTGCACGCGTTGCCAAATGTAATGGTGCCTCACCACGTACAGTTGTCGAATCAGGATGTCCACCATGATTAATTAGATATACAACAATATCATGACTACCAACAAATGCGGCAACATGTAATGGTGTTAAACCGGATTCTGTTCGTGCTTCAATTTGTGCACCATTTGCTAATAATAATTCAACAACTTTTAAACGATTTTTTTTACCTTAAAAATAAAAAATGATAAATTTATGTTTTATTATTTATTAATTAAATAATAATTACTTACAGGCTATATGAAGTGGACTAAATCCGTTTAAGGCTTTTGCATTGACATCTGCTCGTCGTTCACAAAGAAGTCTGGCCACATTTAAATGACCACAATGAGCTGCAACATGTAATGCAGTTAAATAATCCTAGAATAAGAAAATATTATATATAGTCAGTAGTCAATAACTGATTTCTTTTTTGTTGTTGTTGTTCTTTTTTTCTTTACTTACTGAGCTAACATCATCAACAATTGTTGATTTATAATATAACAATATTCTTGCTGCATCAACATGATCACCTTGAGCAGCTAACAAAAATTTATAAAACAATGAATAATCAATAAATTGACGATAAAATATTTATGTCTATGAAATTTTTTTTCTTTTCTTTCTTACCCATATGAAGAGCCGATAATCCATTTTTAGTTTTGGCACCAAATGGAGCTCCACTTTCAAGTAATAAATCAACAACTTGATCATGACCACTATGAAAAAGAATCATTAATTAATAATTTAAAATAAATAAATCATCTTTTTTTTTTTTATTTAATCTTACCTTCGTGCTGCACAATGTAACGGTGTCAAACCATCCTAAATAAAAAGATGAATATTTAAACTATTCATCATATTATTTAAATGAAATCAATTATAATAATACCTTTGTTTTAACATCAATTTGTGCATTTTTTTCTAACAATAATTTAACAATATTTTCTTTGCCCCATTTTGATGCAACATGTAATGGTGTGATGTTTTGCTACATAGAATAAAGAAAATAAATGCGAAATAGATTATAGAAAAATAATTGAAATAGATTCAAAATTGGCAGCAAATTATGTGTTTAATTATTTGAGAAAAAATGATATCCTTTTATTATATATATTGTTTTACTTTATTATTATTATTATTTTTCAAATTATTTATATTATACATTCGTATAGAAATGATAACTTTTTAAGACTCATAGATTTGATTGTAAAATACTAATAAAAAGAAAAACTTTCTATTATCGAAATATCATATATATTAGAGTTTTATCCGAGTGTCAATGACGTCTGTCTATGTATACATTATGCAAAGTTCCAGCAAAATGAGTATGAAACTACCAATTACTTTCTACTAGTAATTCTACTCTTATCTTTGTTCTATTATAGATAGTGCGCATTTTCATGGATAAATGATTAGTTGACATGTAACTATTGTAGTGACAACAGCATCAATGATTGAAATATTTAACTGTACACATAGACGTCAAACAGAGTTTTAATAAATATATTGCTGATAATAATTTTGACTGAAACGAATGTTTAGAGTCAAATAGTTCATAAGAAATGTACGAATCTGTGTCAAATTGTACTAGGAGAGAGAAAGGTTATCTTAAATCAATTATTTTATATGTTAAAATTTACACTCTAGACCATTAGATTTTGTACAGTTGTCGTAATGACTGTCAATTATAGGACGCTATACAAATATTAGTTGTCAATCACAAATATGTCTTATCATCAACATCTGTATTTCATACATAAAATTCGGCAGTCAATTTATGGACAATCGTATGATATAGAGCTAAATGAATGGATTTTTATTGCACCTGGATAATCGTTAAGTAGTCGTGTATTGTATACAAACAAAATGTAAGAATCAAATATCGTCAGATATAGCTGAAATTTATCCGGAAGGCTATACACAATTCTATATCTATCAAGATCCATATTAAACATATTTATTGTCAATTATATGTACGATAAGTGTAAATCAAATAGAATGGAGTTTATTCTGTTTGTCAGAATTTATTCAATTGAAAGAAACAATTTCATATGTGGATATGACAACTAACGTAACAACATTAACAACTACTTCTATTTTCATATCAACTTCAAAAATCATAATTTTCTCAATATCTATTTTCAATTAGTGGTATACAATTTTTTTTTATACAATCGTTTTTATACAATTTTTAATAGTTATTATTACAAATATATTTTATTTATGTATGTTTAAGATTTTTTAGTTATTGCTTATTCTAATAAGAGAATTTCAAACAATCAAACAATAACACGCACGTATGTGTGGTAATCACTATCGTCTTATGATAAAAAAAATAATCGATGAAAATTCATAAATATGGATTTTTTTTCGAATGATAGTTGTCATAAGTTAGTCAAAATACAATATTAATATTACTTACACTAGCAGCATAATTAACGTCTGCACCGCGCGAGATCAATAATTGAGCAACTTCGACATTTCCATAATGACTAGCAATGTGGAGAGCAGTAAAACCGCTCTAAAAAATAGAAAAAAACAAAAATAATATAAGTTAAATGTATATATAATGAAGATAAACTTTTTTTTAACAAAAAAGCAAGCAAAATATTGTTAGTTTCATGATTAGTAACAATTAGTGAATAAAAAGTGCAAGGTTAGTCTATTATTAGTCTCCAAATCATGTTAGTGCAAATATTTTTTTACACCCCATGTACTCGATAATTTCGTAGAAAAATCTCAGCATTAGTCCACAAGGAAAGAAAATTAGCTAAATTGCTCTATTCAATGATCGAGAAAAAACAAGATAGAAAGAAGGTCATGCTTCTGTTACATATCTGAGTAGATTTTCAATCAATATTTTAATTGTAGAGTATAAAATGTGTTAGAATATTTTGAAAACTAAAATAATTGTATTTCTATCAAATTTTTAGTACTAAAAGAGATAGATCTATTAATCTAACACTATTAATTGCAAAGTTATTCGAAGTGTTTTTAGTAGTTATTTGTATATTAGTGAACAATAAAAATAGACTTTCTTACTCTTCCAAGCTAAAATATAGATAAATAAAAAGTGATATATTATAATAAAAACTTTGCATTATTTATAATAACATCAGTACACCATAAATAAAAAGAGAATGTGTACTATTAGTCAACATTTAAAATATCAGTATAACAGTCGAACAAGAAAGAATAATGGAAACTATGGACGAATACAAATCTCTTCTTAGTTTTTTATACTGTCACACCGATCATCAATTTATTATTGCTTTGTAGAGTGGGAGATGAAAAATGCGTTTTTATCCAAACTCATAGGGTATAAGAAAGAGGCTTGATAAATGCATAAACAAAATGGAAAAATAAATACAAAATGTTGAAAAATTATATACGAAGGACAAAACAACAACAAAGCAGCGACAAACCTTTGTTGTACAATTGACAAATCCGCCCTAAGAGAAGATGGAATGAGACGATTAAAAATGGTGTTTAACACAGTCAGACAATATATATACATTTTTTTTTGCGTTTTAATTAGACGAAGTGTAGAGTAAATGAAAATTTCGTTTACCTTATAATTAAGGTCCGGTTGACTGTCAGCTTGTAATAATAAAGCAGCTGCTTTTGTATCATTTTTTTTCGCTGCTATATGTAACGCTGGTAGACGAACTTTTGATCCTTTTGAATCATTTTCTAATAAAATTGCAACAACCTTCTCATGTCCTTGTTGTAAACTAACGGCAAGTGGTGTAAAACCATCCTAGAAAATAAAATATTATATTATTTCTATTTTGATGTTATATACATTTAGAAACATACTTCGGTGGCTAAACTTTGATTTGCACCATTAGCGAGCAGAAATTTAACAACTTCAAGGTGATTTTCTTGTGCGGCCATATACAACGGTGAAAAACCGTTCTAAAACAAAATTATTTAGTATAAATAAGAAAATAAAAAAAATGAATTGATAATAAGACATACTTGTGATTGACAATTAATATTTGCATTGTGTTTGACTAGGAGTTTAACAACTTCTTCTTGACCGGCAAGACTCGCAATATGTAGTGCTGTGTTACCCTTCTACAATAACAAACATAAGGTTAACAAGTGTATAAAAGAATAAATTATAATCACATTTTTACCTTAGTAGCCGCATTTACATTTGCACCACGTGTAAGAAGTTCTTGAACAATATTTACATGACCTTCTTTTGAAGCTAAATGTAAAGCGTTTAGTCCATTCTAAATAAATATATATAAACACATTATGAGAATTTAATTGATTGATAGTCAAAAAAACAACGTACTGCATTGGATGTATTCTAAAAACAGACGGAAACATTATTCTAGTGAATATAGAAAGAATAAAAATCAATAAACTCACAATATCGATACTTGAACGAAGAAATTCTAAAACTTTTTCAAGGTTTCCTGCTCGTGCTGCTCGTAAAAAACCAGAATTGCCATCAGACTAAAACACAATAAGAAAAGCTCAATAATAATAATTAATACAAATATTTATTCGATCAAAATTGTTTAGTAAATGAGACATTGAAAATAATGTTTCAACGTTTTTCTTCCTTCTCATGATTAGAGGTGAGACTGGTTCGATTTATGGAAAATTTTTGAAATATTTTAAACAAAAATTTGTTTTAGAATCGATGAACTTTTGTAGAACACTTGTTTTAATATTCATTTATAAAAGTGAAGTAAAAAGGATGAAAACATTCATTCAAATGATACATGCTCAAATAATGATGAGTAAGAATGCGCTTAAAAACGCTTGACGTTTCCATCTCTGTCGCCTGACTTAGTCAATAACTCTATAAAAAACTGCTTATATATAATTATGAGATTTTTGAAGGTGTCTTATATTATTATGTTAATACGATACATTATGTCTAGTAGAAAGAGTTTGTCGTGTCTACGTTTGTACTTTGTTATTACTTTTTTGTCTTATAAAAGAAAAAGAAAATCGACAGATATGAAGAAAGATAATATTTCACGAATAACATTTTACGCTGTTGGTGTGATTGAACATCAACTAAGATAATTAACTTCGAACTTTTTCTATTTTATCGACATTTTTCTGACTATATGAACAATGATAGACGTGTAGGGATGACCTTTTTTCATTTTAATGGCACGCAATTTGATCGTCATTCATCTAACAGTCAGCAGTTGATACGATAATGTATCTAAATAATACTGAGACGAAACAACATCTTATGTAATACAATCATGTAAATGAGTGTAAAAAGGTTTCTTCAATGCTGAATAAACAGATATTAAGAATTTACTATAGAAAATAAATAACTCCAAATTTCGCTCTTATTGAGCAGTAACTATTTTCAATTGTGAAATATTTTAGAACTATTAAATAGAAAAGTATATTGTTCTAACTTAATCCATAATATTTTTGAGAATACCATTTTTTGATCGCTGATATCCTAAAAATGCTCTAAACTTTTATCAACGCTACTCGCTCTTTTTTTAACATTGTTGACAGATCATATCATTAACTGATAAATCAAAATCTTTTATGTGTCATAACAATTTGTCTATTGAGAAAAAAAAGTCTACTATCATCTGATCATACTTTGTGCAACGATTGATTACATTGAACTTTCTCGAATGTTGTCAGTATTTCTTAAAGATTCGTTTTTCTTTTTTCTTTTTTTTAAAATAAAAATTATGTGAATATTTTTTGCTTCAAAAAAAAAGTGTGGTATGTCATCTATTTTTTTCAGAAAAGTTTTACGTTAACTACGATACGGTACTTCAACAACATATTTCTAATAATATATAATGTTTGATTAACATGCTGATTATCAGTTTCTATTTTCTCTTTTTGTCTCTCTTTTTCCGAACGATGAAGAATTTCTTATAAAATATGATCTTTCATTTGACTAATACTAATTAAAAATTGTGTATTTAATAGGAAAAAGATTATAAATTTGCAATCAATCATTACAACAAAACAAACATATTTTTCTAATATCAAATTAAATGTCATTCTAAATAATTTATAATAAACTAAAATCATATTCTCTTAATTACTTATTAGAAAAAGTCCCCCTCTCCAAAAAACAAAACACTGAACTTACGAAGGTACTTCGAACTTTAGAGGATAAATGTCTACCCATAACTTATTATTATTTCTGTTGCTGTTGATCTCGCATTAAAGCGTATGGCACGTTTATGCGTTATACTAGATATGTCCACTTTAGATAGTATTTTGTTTTCTTCTCATCATTATCATGAGAGAGAAAGAGAGAGAAAAAAAAAAGGGAACGGAAAGGAAAGTTTTTCTGGATATATAAATAAAGAGTAAAACAAGTAGGAAAATAGATAGTCCCTAATAACTAATAACAGCCTTATTCTGTCTTCATCAGAATTTATAGAGATAAGAGAAATATTATAGTACCACATCGGCTTTTTTTTTTTACCTATATACAAATGTTCGAATGTATTTCGGTGAGAGAGAACGAGAGAGAGGGAGAGAGATCAAACAACGTCTGATTTGAAACAAAACGCGCATATTGTTGACTTTCCATATTTCCTTCCCGACTTCTTTCCCAAAAACAGAACAACTAACTGAATATTAAAAAGAAAAGACAGAAACAGAAAAAAATATTTGAACTAATTTTATTTAGATGTTTTAAATGATAAAAGATAAAATAGATGTCTTATACGTATATGCATTCCATTTAAAAAAATATTTGACAGATGTAAACATAGAAAGATTTTTATGAATAAGGAAATAAAAATGTTTTTTATTTTTAATTGTTTCTAGAGGGAGAGAGAGAGGGAGGGAGAGAGAGAAAGAAGAAGAAAAACTAACATTGTTTCATTCACAAACCGGAAAAAGGAAAAATACACACTCTTCAATCACTTCAAATATTCCATTTTTTTCCATCACTATGCTTTTTCATTCTATTATTCATGCATATTGTTCACAACTATGACAATGATATATTCAACTGGGACCAAAAAAAGAAAATAATTAACAACAATTTAGTTTGAAAAATCCTTTATATTGGTAATCTTGCCAATACCATCTAATCAGTTACAGTTTTCAAATTATTTTTGGTTGAAGAATGGAAAGAAAAGGAAAAAAAAAGAAAATTTTTTTAAATATCTTTTTCAAACATCGAGTAATAAATACATCGAGATGATTTACATAAAATTTTAAATATTTATTCAATAAAGATTTTCCAAACATTCTTAACATTAGTTTTTATATATAAAAAACAAATATTTATCATATGTCTTTTGGGAAAGTCGATGAAGAAATAGGGTTGTTTACCGAAATTTTTTTTTTTTCTTCTCAAAAAATATACATATATAATAAAAACTCTTATTGTTAGTATATTAGACTCATATTTACGCAAATCTCGAAGGAAAAAATTCTCATTCTATTTTTCTCTATGAACAGAGAGGCAAGGGTACTACGTTGGCTAAAATCTCGAATGCATTATGACAACCTTTTCTTCTTTTTTTTCTTTTTTTTTCAGTAAAGACTGAACAAAACGCTTGCATCGCTTGCAGAACTGATTATAAACTCTAAAAGATTAAAAATACATCATTTCTAGCTTTAAGGTCTAAGAAAAAGAAAAATTGCATAATTTTAATTGTCTATTGCACGCTACTTATATTTTCATTCATTCACTATATTCTTAGGAAACAAAAAAGAATGTGTTCCCTCGAAGTATTTGAACAAATTTTTTTTTTTCTTATTCTTCGTTAAAGATCAATCATGTAGTGTGCTTTGTGAGAGTGATGAGAATCAAATTTATTTTACAATGTGTACATAATATAGGTCTCATTTTAATGATCACATATATATATATATATATATAGAATGAGAAGAATGGAACTACAATATGATAATGTAAATCTTATTCTTTCCATATTACCTTTTAATCGTAAAAAAAAAGTAGAAAAACTAGTCTTACTATATTAATTTTTCTTTTCTGTTTTTCCGATGTCATTTACAATGACAGCGTATAAGCAACTTATATTCTTTCTTTTTCATAGTTATTTTTTCTGATGTAAGAACAATATTTGAAAATTTTGTATTCAAAACACAATTACAATTATTTCTATTCAGGAAATGATTTAAACCTGAATATTTGTATAATAGTAATCAATAAAAATGAAAAAATAAATGAATAAAAAAATTGAAGAAATACTTTTGATCATTGTCATTAAGTAATGATACAATAATGACTTTTAAGTAAAATCTAACCTTAATAAATAAAATTGTTCTCAAGATAGTATCTTACAGTAACGAATTTTACTATAAAAAGAAAAGTATAATAATCAATCTCAGTGGCCATGTGGAAAGGGATTCAACTACTAAGATAATTGAGCTTAAAATGATTGAAAAATAATATTTCTGTACTCTATACAGGCGATATTAACTTGTGAGACAACATCTCAAAGTAATTTTCACGTGTATTACAGTTGCGCTGTTAACCCTTTAAGACCCAATGTCGACTGGGATAAACATTAGTGGATATCGTAGAACTACTATAGATAGGTAACGATGCGTCTGATCAACTTCTATCTAGATAATTACCTATATCTATCAATTATCTATATCTAGCGTAAGCTGACAGCAAAAGCTAGCAATTGCTAATAAGAAATTTTTTTTTCCAGTTGGCCTAGATAAATGGACGAGAGTTTCAAGTTTGCATTACGTAATTAGCTGTGGGACAATTAAATAGTGAAATGAATAATTCAAGTTTAGCATAAAAGTTTATTATAATAAAAAGTAAAAGTTGGGTAAAAAATGATTGTTTCTTACCACAGTCATTGTGATAAATTTAAAACTATGCCATTAAATGAAACTGGTATAAAAACGCTCATGATTCATTATTATCCAATTGTCTGTGCGTAAGGGGTTTAAAAAAAGTAATGAAAAAATGTACAACCATCATCACTATTATACGTTGAGAGTAAAAAAGTCTTCTGTGATGAGAACATTTGCATTATGAAGATTAAAAATAGAAAACGAAGAAGAGAGAGAAAGAAATAAAAAAAAAAAGAGGCACCCTTTTCTACTCACACATATATGCTAAATGAGGAACAAACAAACTAAATTGACGTAGAAAAAAGGAGAAAAAAAATGTGTTGTTGTAAGTCAAAAACGAAAGAGAAAAACTTTTGAACATTTTTTCTTTTTCTTCTCTTTTACAGTCGTTCATCTAACATTTTACCATAGGAAAAAGAAACCGGCACCATCTAGTTCGATTTATTGGCTAAGACAAATTATAATACAGACACTTATCAATAACTCAAGTTCTTAAAAAACATCTACGCAACGACAGTATGCAAAAGAACAGGAACAAGTGATCGAGGAAAGGAAAAAGTAAGGCATAATGCTTTTTTTCCAAATATCCATAGATATTTGGCGGATGAATGATAATATCAATTTGAACCAATTGAAGTGCATAAATCTTAATAAAACTTTTGTAAGTGGCCAAAAGAGGTCTGAAATCATTTTAAAAGTTGTTATTTATGACAAGTACTAAAGGGTGATAACTAAATCAAGAGATTCATTGCTTTTTCTTCGGAATATTGCTGATAATGACTCGAATATTCTTTTGTCTCGATAGGCTCCTTCTTGAATGAGCCTGAAGAAAAGCATAATGAGCTTTTTTCAATTAGACACATAGCGATACGACTAGTTGATGGAGCACAATAGTCAAGTCACATACGAAGAAAATTTTTTGAAACTAACAAAACAATTTCCTTAGAGTTATAAAACTTTCATTGCAATAAAGTTAAA